TGTGGGTCAGTCCCTCCTTTCAAACATCAGTGAATTTAGCCTCATATCACTCCTGTGAGGTAGAGGAGTGGTATATCTGCCATTTTATAGATGAGAACCAGAGCCTCAGAGCTTAAGGCTTGATTTTCAGAAGTAGTCAGCATCCATAACCATGAGTCCAGGAGAACTGGATGGGTTCGCCACTTGGAGTGTAGAGCAAGGGGGATAATCAGACCTTTAGTGACTTGTTCAAGGTCTGTGTGACAGAGCCAGTTACACCCAAACTACTCAGTCACTCACAAAGCCATCCTTCCTGCATATCAATAAATCAAGCCACCCAACACAACGCCACATTTCTCTGTAGTCCTTGCATCTTTGCCCACAAAAGCTTAAACTCCAATAAATCTGTCTATAAGGTGCCACAGGACTTATGTTTTTGCAGATTCAGACTAACACAGCTACCCCTTTGATACTTAACACTGAAAATTGTTACAAGACTCACTTTTGCTTTATGTAATCCATTAGCAAGGACTAGAACAATAACTAGCCTACAGTCCAAAATTACACGCCTCAAATAAGGATATCAATATGTAGTTAACTATATGATTAGCCAAGGCTTTCCGCATTAATCTTCTCGACTACACACATTTCTCCTCTACTTGCTGCCTCCATATCAAAGGCAGCCATGGAGAGGGAGGGGAGAGCGCAAGCAGTTGCCAGTGTTGGAGGGAACTGGCTCAAAAGCTGATTCACCCCTAGCGCCAGCTCTGCAATGCTGGCTACCTCCCCCCACGCTGCTGTCTCTATCAGAGGCACCTGCAGGAACAGGGGGAGAGAGGGGCTACCACGGAGCAGCCTCGGTCTGCAGTGAACTTGCACCTGCCACAGGCAGAGGCTGCTTCACAGCAGCCGCCCCTGTCCGTGGGGCATCCCAGCTGCGAGGCTGCTCCGTACCCCAAGGAGCAGCCTCTGTCCCTGGGGAGCTCGGACTCCCCCACAAACAGGGGCTACTGCCACCCCATGCCACTGCCTCTGTGTCAGAAGCAGCAGCGCAGGGTAGCAGGCATCTACCTGCTGTTTTTTAAACTGGCTCCCCTCATGAACAGCTCCCCTTGACACGCTGCGCTGCTGCTTCTGACTCAGAGGCAACAGTATAGGATGGAAAGGGGCTCCCTGGGAATGGGGCCAGGAGTACATTGGCTGCCGGCTTCACCCCCAGGGACTATCGAACAGTCATGTCACCACAAAGATTTCATGCGGTTACACAATTAGTCAATTATCTGGTATCTAACACCCCTGGACTCAAATAAGGATACTCTCTCCCTTCACATTCACTTCGGTACTCATCTCGAAGCCTCTGAAGGCAATCCCTTAAACTTGTGGTGTCCCAGCAATGTCACTGAAGCTCTGCATTAATATGGGTCCACGTACATAGAGCCACTTACAGGATTAGATTTAAATACACACAATAAAATGGATATGAAAGTAAATACATAAATAAAATGATGTCAAAGAATGTCATGTTGGCATCCAATGAGTGAATACTTGAGCTATGGAATCTTTCAGGAGGTTTATCTTGGATGCTTCAGGCTCAATTTTGTTTGCATATTTGAAGTCATACACTGTTATACATTTTAAAATAAAAACCAATTATTCTCCACAATATCTGATTTTATAAGATACAGAATCATGCAGATCTTATCAGTAAGAGCATCAGGATCATAGGGATGTTTCAGTGATTAGAGAGCAATATTCATAAATCACCATTCAAGGTAATAAAGGCGGGTCAGTGTCAGGAGTGAGTTTCTTTGGGTCTCCACCCCCACCGAAATAGTTCATGAAAGGGTGAGTATTTCCAAGTCCAGCAGTATCTGTGGAAAAACTCTTTGCCCCTTTGGAAACTGCAAGGCATATTTAAATATGCCCCTTTTTCTGGCTGTGAAAAGTTGCTAGGATTAAACACCAGAGAAAATATGCAAGACTCCAGCTAATAAGGAGAACAAGCTAAATCTGAAAAATGAAAGGACAAGTATAAAGATAATTCAATTGTCTAAGCAGAAACATTGTCATCTTTCTCTCGTCATCTAAATATTTAACCAGGTCATTTCTACAAACAGCAGCAGAAAATGCTGTGCCAGTCTATGAAGAGGCAGCAATACATATCAGAGAGAGAAAACACCCATTGAAAAGGTAACAAAGTTCCAAATACAATTCAGTTGAACATAATGTTCTCAGGGTTTCACCCTCTCCTGAAGGCTCCGATAGGATATGAAGTACAAGGACAGTTGAAAATTTCAGACTGGAATCATCTCTCTTCCTCAGAGTTCAGTATGAACAAGGCTGCTCTACAGTTTCCGCTCCCCCCCGTAATGTAGTGTGGATATTAAGATTTTCTGAGATGTTCTAAGCAAAAAGTATATTTATCTCTCTGAAATTGACCCTTTTATCATTTTGCACATAAGAGGTCAGTGAGTATTTGCTTATAAGTTTAAACAGATTAAAAAAATGAAAAGTCTGGGATCAAAGATTATTTGATTACATAGTATTACATAAACTGGCCTCAACGTAATATGGTTGCAGTTGTAGAAGAATCTTTCACAGAAAAAGGATGTCAATAACAATTCCATCAAATACTGCTTGCAATAAGCACTACAGGCATAACCCTGAAGCAAGTGTCGACTCCATGCAAAGGTAGGAAGCCTATGACAATTGTTTTCTATGATGTCTGCAATTTAATATTTCTTATAATAAATAAGGGAAAGGGGCAGAAATTGTGTTCATCAAAATTTCTCTTCCAATAATGCCAATAAACCAGATAACAATTTAAGCATTAGAATTTAGCAAGTCTGCTACAAATATAGTTCAACCCAACAAAGTCCAGTAGCAACAAGTTTCTAGGTTGCAAATATACTTAAAACACATGAATGAAAACCAGGTGAACAGTCCCATTAAAGTCAGAGGGACCATCACACAAGTGTTTATGGGCTGTGGTTAAATACTACTATTCCACCTGCTGCATAATATACTCAGTGCATGGTACCACAGGTCTAATGAAATTCAAACCACCATACATAGTGAGGTCATTCAATTTCAGTACTTTAGCATGAAATAAGAAGATAGCAAAATTTTGCTAATAGCCAGGAATACTCAAGACCATTACATTGGTGGCTATTGAGACAAACTGACTAATTATATACTGGATTAAAAGCTTACTTGTGAAACATGAAATCAAGCTGCAGAGCTACTTAAAAGTATATTTCAGCTGCAGAATTAATAATTCTGCATAAATACCTGCCTGCACCCCTGATAATTATATTCACCATAAATTCTTCATGATTTACAGATTAGCCACAGAAGACAGAAAATGAAAGCCTGAAAAATTGGTTGCACAGGGAGAGGAAAAATATATTTGATGTGAAAGGACTGCTTGTTTACTGTAGTGCTTTGTAAGTATATCCAAGACTGAAGTTACCATTCACTGTAACCCTTGTATTTTAAAAAGCTGAACAACGGCGTACAACTAGAGGTATTCATACAGTACTACAGGCACCTATCAAATTAAAAAGTCAATGGAAAGTAAAAGATATACCCCAAAATATGTATTCATCTCAACCCACAACTGAGGGCTAAAAAAGACATTCTGAGGCCATTACAACTGTATTTTAAAAATGGAATAATCATTTACAAAATTAAAGTAAACATAACATGCAAAATTAAATAAATTTACATAGTATAATATAATTAAGTGATCCTTTTGCATTCCACTTATTTTATGTTGATTTTCTTCCATCTGCACAGCCATCTTATGCTGTTGCAGGCTTTCATGTTCATCTGTGCCTAACAAAACAAAGTGTGTAGGATTGTGTGAAAACACAAATCAAAGCAGATGTTTTGATTAGTATTAAGGCTGAGATGCTAAACATGTCAGGCACACTGGCAGGTAATTTAGGTACAAATATTTAGTTTTTAAAAAGATGTACAGAACTTAGAATTAGGGTTTAAAAACTAATTTACATTTTATTTTAATTTAAACCTCTCTTTGCAATCTATGCAACAAACTTTCTCCTTCATGACAGCCAGAAAGTGAGGACATAAGTGACTTCCATTATGAAGACCTTGTTAATGTATTTTTCACTAAGACTATTGAAAAACAAAAAGTAAAATATAGAAAAACAGTGACATTTTTAAACCGTGTTCAGTTACAATAATCTAAAACTAAAATTATATTTTTAAATGTGTTTTTAACTTCACAGTACCCCTTTACAATTGACTCAGATTAGGGATGTTAAATATCGATTAATTGAATAGTCAGTAATCTCATGAATTCTTATCCATTAGTCAACTAGTCTATAGTTCCCAGGGGCAGAGGCAGGGCCAGTGCACTCTGACCTCATTTCCAAGGAGACCTCTGTCACCTCACGCTGCTGCCTCTGTCAGAGGCAGCAGCACGGGATGCCAAGCAGGAGCTGGTCCACGAGGGCAGACAGTTAAAAGCCAGCTCTCCGCGTGTACCAGCTGCCTGTTGCCCTGGGCTGTTGCATGTGATAAAGAGACAGCAACACCAGGTGGCAGCAGCCCCTTTTATTGGGCAGGGGGTCGCATCTGAGCTCCCAGACCCAGCGTGTGCTGGAACTGAGCTGGGCTGCCTACCCGCCTGGCTCCTATTACACTTCAAATGCAGAGCTGCAGCAGGGGGAGGTCCCGGACTCATCGCAAGCCAGGACTGTGCCAGGCTGCTGGCCAGCCTGCTAAAAAGTTTACTGGGGGGTGGGGGTGAGGGGGAGGAAAATGCATATAATCTATAGCATTTACCTATACGTTTTTGCTTATTGGTAAATCAATTAATCGACCATACTATTTATATCCCTAACCCAGATATCTACTGTTCCAGAGTCATTCATTAGATACTAGATGTAAAATTACCACCAAGAACCAGATAAGCCTGCACCAAGTAAAATGAAGAGATTTCTCACAGAAACCTGTTTTTACACAAAAGGAAGTTAAGAGGCGCTGCTCTTTACCTCAAGTTCAGTTTCTCTTCGATTGATGTCATCTGTGGATTGATTTAACTTTTCCAGTTCCCCCTAGAAAAGAGCAAAAACACAGGTATGCTCTGAGAAATTAGACATCAACATGACAGAGAAAAGAGAAGTACTGTACTATTAAGTGCTTGCTGGCATCCCTCAAAGAAAGCACATAAGGGCACTGGGCTGGAATGTTAAATGAAAAACAGAGATATGCAACATATGGAAGAACTCAGCCAAAGGTTATGGGTCTATTACATGAGTGGGCGGGTGAGATTCTGTGCCCACAGCGTGCCAGAGGTCAGACTAAGCGATGATGGTCCCTTCTTGGCTTTACAAGTCTCTTTCTTAAGTAGCAGAACACTGAGAAATGTCACTTAAATTCTAGTTTTAATGAAATATGCTTCTTGCTTTGGGTTACTCTTATTAATAAATATTCCATACAATCTGTATCATAAAGGAATGTGGCTAATGTCAGCTAGTTCCCAGTGTGACAGTTTAAGACAAAGCCATTTGTCTTCATGGTGGTAGGGAAAAGAGCTATAAACATAGATAAAGGCACAAAAACAAGGATTAGAATATATTGCATTAACACTATAACAAAAACAGTCACATGCCAAGACAGTAATTGTCTTGCATAAGGAGAATGTATCAGAATTGAGCCCTTAGTGTTGAATCATACTAAAGGACCACCACCAGGAATTCATCAACTATTGAGTCCAACAGATTATATTAGTTAATCTGGTCACAATTAAAATATATGTTAGCTCTAATAATATAGCTGTGTTATCCACACAAGTCAGATTTTATTTTAAACTTCTACGACTTCAAAGACTTTTACATTTTTCCAATAATGGTTTTTAAATAGACATTTAAATTACTTTTTTTGTTATCAAGGTAAGAAGGTTTTGTCCCACAAAAATTAAAGCAACCGACATTTAGTCAGATGTAAAAAAACAAACAATTTCATTAACAGCATGCAGTCAGATTCCCAGTGTTGATTAGACAAATGGAGCCATATTCCAAATAAAAAGTAATCCAAAATGTTAGTAAATGGGAGCTAGCACACCTCAGTTGCTGAAAAATTAGGCCACTTAAACATTAAGTGTACACAGAATCAGGATTATCTTTAGGCACCCACATTTGAAAATTTTGCCACAAATTTCTACAGCTCCAGCAAAGAGCAAGATACAAGATAAGAGTAATTACAAGTCTAGGTTCAACCCTGCAAAGACTCCTACATGTGCTTAACTTTACACACAGCCAGAAAACCCACTAAGGGAATACTTGGTGCATAAAATTAAGCCTTTTTGCCTATCTTTCCAGGATAGGGCCACACTGACCCTTCCGTCAAGAAGTTGGTCAGGGCATGAATTTGAACTGTGAAGGGAAGAAAATAGAGAACTCTGGTTATAAAGAGAGAGATTCAGGAGCATATTAAAAGCACATGCAAAAGGAAAGCAAGGTTTTAAATTTCAAGCCTGTGTTTTCCCTTCTAATTAAAATCATACCTTTGTTACATTATTAATAGTTTAATCCCCTCCTAGATTTAAAGAAAGGTTTGATTTTTTTTTTAAATTCCCCCCCAAAAAATGCAAAATGGTCAGAATTTTAATTTAAATGAAAGGAAGAGAGTCATGGTACCAAACATTTTAATGGAAAAATATAATAATCGTAAACAACCAGTATTCACATCTTAAAATTATGCTAGTTGAACTTCACAAATGCCCTTGCTCCTTTGCAGGCACCAACCTGAGACCACGACCCACCCTCCACCACCATCACCTTATTTCAGGTATCAGCTTCAACCGTGTTTTGTTCCCCACCCCCACCTCCAACTTTACTTAAAAGCAACAGCCACAAATGATTCAGCTCTGGCCTTGTACCTATCGTATAGCGTTTTGAGAAATACCGTGTATGAGTGGTATTGGTGAAAATCACAGTTGCATTGCCTTGCCTGCAGGCAGGCAGACCTCCTCCCCCGCCCCCCCTCACACACAGAACAGAAACCTCTCCTCGGGTATTCTTGCAGCCTGTGCAATGTGCAGAATATCACAGGAGGTTCCCCCTTGGGTTTGCAAAGCAGGTAGGTTGCTTTAAGTCATGGAAGGTTCAGAAAAGCCCCCTCTCCCCCCTTCCAGCTCTGATGCTGCAAAATCTGGGGGGGGGGGGT